AGTCTTTTTACTCTAACGGTGCCATCAGTAATCATCCGTCAATGGTAATGATCTGAAGAGCACAAATCGGCATTGAGTCCGGTTAAGCTGAAGCTGTAGCCCAAACCGCTGTTCGATCTGGCTTGGAGTTCAATTTTGCAAATATCTCAGTCTTATTGTAGTTGTATTTCCTATAATACCCTGCCTTAAAAACTGATCGGTAGATAAAAGTTATACATTGCGATTTCGATTACAACTTCAGCCCAATTAGATTTAGTACCTATTTGTGCTGCCCAGATCAACTCCGTTGACGGGACATACTGATGGCACCACTGGGTAGAAAGCCGGCTGAGAGGAAGGCAAAGCAAAAGAGCAAGAAAGCCTCAGTGGTGCAGTAATTAATAAGTGAGCTCCTGGTGAGGGTAATCTCGGATTCGAAACGTCACATTATTCAACATGTTTAGCCAAGTGCTCCAATGCGTTTCGCAACCGACGTAAATGATCGACTATATTCCTCTCGAAGCCGTATTTATCACATAGTTTTCTTTCGTCTAGTATTTTGTCTCTCGTTCAGAAACGTAACCTTCTAAAAGCAGAATTATATGAGCACTAGTGCTAGGTTGTTCAAAGCTTCAAGTTTATTCATGTGCAGTAGGGATGTTGTACGTATTCTTACAAAGGAGATTCTGAATGAAAGGTTGTTCTCCCGTCCCTGAACTGACACAGGGTTATGGAGCTATAGGCAAGATTCAAGCAAAAGTTATGGATGGTTCTTTTCACTGAACTTCTATAGGCTGCGAATATTTCCCCCAAAGAACCTTGGTACTGTAACTGGAACAGCCTTGGAAGGGTTGAAGATGGTTTTGCCGGTTTATACTGCATATATGATTCCACTTAGATTTCCTTCAACAATTTGCCTCACAGGTTCGAAAGTAAAATGATATCTATCTACGGTTCGTGCAATTTCACGTCTGTGTATTGACCAGAGAGTTTTTGAGTGCCGATGACGCTTTGTGAATTTTAAGCTCTGAAGATTTTGGCAAGCCGTGACAATACTCAACATGTTGTATTTTCACGAATGCCGAAGATGAGGATACTATTTCCAAAAACATGCCTTTAGGTCTGGCACAAAATTTTGAAAAAAATCTGAAAAATTCACACTTTCTACGAGAACATTTTTGACCTTTAACGGACTCAGAAAGTGGCTTGTGTGATTAGCCCTGGACAATGGAACTAACTCATACCTCAGAAGTCCTTAAATTGTTACCAGACTTCCTAAAAAAAACTAGCCTGATACGTCGATGGCTGCCATGGCTGTATTTGGGAAATATGCATTACATTATGCATACAATGCACGACGGAGTCGACTGTACGACACATCGCTGAGAGCTATATCATGATAACTATGCATTGGAAGAGGGAGATTAACGAAGCCTACGATTTTAACCATGGCACAAATTTGTTTAATTTTTTGTTTACTACCAATTATTTTTTTACGACAGAGTATGATGCGAAATACTACCACAGTGATGCTCGGTTATTTGCAAAACTTGAACCTTAGGCCACGTTTGAACCTGCGACTACCCTTTCCAGGGCTGTTACTCACTGCACCATTGAGACCCCAATCACCCGTCATCGAGACTTATCTGGGGAGCACAAATCGGCATTAAACCCAGCTTAGCTGAAGCTGTAGCCTAATCGTGGTTTTGAATCTGGCCTGGGGTCCAAGTCTAAGTTTTGCAGATATCTCAGCGTCACAGTGGTTGCATTTTATTTCATACTCTGCCGTAAAAGAATGACAAGCAGTAAATAAAAGCTAAACATTGTGACTTCGACTAAAGGCTAATCTATACTGTGTTCAGTGCTGAATCGTCCTTAGCATTTCCCGTTGGCGGATGATTACTGTTGGTTGTTATGGTTGTTAATGGAAATTAGGTCTTAGTATCAGTTCTCGGCACCGAATGATCACCAGCTTTGACCAGAATGCTCGACTTTGTGGGAAGTTACCACGCGAGGCTTTCTCATGGTTGTGCTATGGCAATGCGTCAAACTTGGGTAACAAACCATTTATAAAAATAATAATGTAAGAATAACTAAATGTGAGCATTAGAACAATACAGACTGCATTGTGGTAACGTGTTCAATAAGTGAGGGCAAAGGTGGTTGGTAGCTTTGCTACAGGGTATTGGAACAACACTATATGCATATAAAATAGATCCATGGTGGTACAAGAGGTAGGCACATTAAATGATTCATGTAGGGCCGTAATAGTTCACTTACAATAGCAATATTATAGGGTTGAACACTATATGCAGCTTGTGTTATCGTCCTAATAAGGTTAACATGTTAAGGAGTATATGTAAGCTTGTGATAACATTACGGTGAGGTACTTGGCAGTAAAATTATATATAATAGGAACCATGTGCAATAAAAGTTAGCACCTTGGATTACCAACATGACGTAACGTATAAGATGAACAGGAGGCTCTAATAAGTCGAACTTGAAAGTGAATAACGGGGCAATTTAAATGTCTTCTAGAGGAGGCGATGTACTGACTCGCGGGGCCATTTAAATGTCTTCTGGAGGAGATGGCCTTTTGGCAGGACTTCAAAACTTTAACGAAAACATTCGTTTTTCCAACTTTCCCATGACCAGTTCAGATAACTGAAGACGATTTCTCAAACAACTTCAAGCCCTGTCGTTCTACGTATGAAAGCTTCGAACAGAAATAACTCATAAACAGTTTCGATTGCGCAAAGAGGTTTGGATAATAAAAGCTGTTTGTAGCAAGCAAAGTTCTTCCGAATCAAATGAAAACATTTTCATATCGCAAGATTGCAAAGCTATATGTTTGACAGCGAATGTGGTTACTGTAAGAACATGATTTAAAGTGAAAGAATGGTAAATATTCTGGCAATGGTTGTTATACCGGTGCCGTTAGGGTAAAAACTGGCTGAGAGAAGGACAAAGGGAGGGCACCAGTGGTGCAGTGGGTAACACATAGACCCCGGAAAGGGTAATGGCGGGTTCGAATCTGAACTGATGTCCAAGTTTTGCGAACACTGCACCATCATAGCGCCTGATACCAGTCGTTTGATGGTCCACCGAGATATGGTGGTGTTCCCAAGTGTCTTGATGCTGGCAGCTGCCACGCACGGCTACCGAATTTGCGTTGCTTCCTCTTCACCAAGAAGAAGGCGGCATCTCAACGATGTATTCTATCGGTTGGTTTGGTTTGGTTGTTAGCTGACAATCGAATTAATTTTATCAAATACATCATAATGCGAGTGGCAAAAAATCAACGTGGTGTTTCTCAACTAAATAACTTTGTCATTGTTTTGTATTTCGTTTATATCACTTGACAGCAAGTGTATTGTGAGGGATCCCGGCATTACTCGCATTCAACTTTTTTCTTCCCTATGAATGTCGTTGGACGTTGGTCGATTCAATTTGCTCTATAATCTGGGAACAACCTTCCTGGGGCATTCTTACATTGATTGGTAGATAACCCCGATAACCCTGGCACCGGTTTTTTTAGTATTATTTATATATATATATATATATATACATCGTTACCATTTTTTTAGTAAAAGAATGGGAGACGATGGGGCTGGGCGTGGCCGAATGAGGGCTTCGCTTGCAGTGGCTTATATGATTATCTCCTCAGTGGAATGTTTTGACATTAACGTCACGAGTTGAGATGTCAGACTGTCATCACATCCTTTATGAATTTTAGGGGTTTCTAGTTACCATGAGAGTTCATCGTTATCGCTGCACTCGTTCTTGCTGCTGTGATAGCAGGATTTCGTTGGAAGTCAGCAAGATAATTTTTTTGACATCGCTTTTTTGCAAAAGGTATTAATGGTCATCTTGCCACGGTTTTTCGTAGAAGACTGCGTATAATAACACTGCCTTTCCGAAAGTTGTTGTGAGATTTATTTGGTGAGGATGGTTCCGAACGTTGTCTCATCAATCACCCAGTGAATGCTTTCACCAAATCGAGGTGAAGCTTTCAGTAACTGTTAATATAAGCACGCATGCTTTTTAGGTAACCTGTGCTCAGAATTCGTACAGATCCTACCATGTTTGCAATTCGTTTGCAACGGTGACCCGTGAAGGCTATCGAGCCCTTAGTGGCTGCAGCTGCATCTGTTCTACAGTTTAATGTTATGCTATTTTCTCTGAGTAACGTGTTGGATTCTGATTCGTCGGAACTTTTTGTGAAATTTGAGGTTGCAAATCTGTGACGTCGTCATGTCGTTTCAATAGGTACTACCTGCTGGCATTTGTGAACTAGAAGGAAATAGCTACCGTGTGACTCGTGTTTCTTGAACATAATAGTGACTGCTGTGGTGACAGCAAATCCTGCGTACAATCCACCACATATTCGCAATAATGGGTGAGAATATTTTTATACGTAAGACGTTAGCATAGTTGAAGCACAAGAAATTCGTCCTCTAAATTCATTTACCTATCATATCGAATCCACAAAGCCTTTGGTTCTCTTTTAATGCCTCTTTTAATGCGCGATCGTTCACATGAAAGTGCTCAACTGAAACAACACCTCTCAAGATCATTCAAATAAACGTGGTTTGTAGCTCTCGCTTATGTTCCAAAAGAATGCTACTGATGAAATATCTTAGGTGACCTGCTGACTTTAATTTTAGAAATGATCGGATATGAATGCGTCGTTTTCTTGTTCAGCAATCGCGAGGTTTTTAAACAGCATACATTTACTTCCATAGAAAAACACAATACAATACAACAGCAGCTGATGTTTCGGCAGTATCGCCTTCTTCAGAGCCGCTTTTTCGTGACTTCCAAGGAGGAAGTTTAGAACAGCTGAAGTAAATGTATGCTGTTTAAAAACCTCGCGATTGCTGAACAAGAAAACGACACATTCATATTCCAATGCCGAGGTTAATAGAAAGTCGATCCTGGGAACTATTACAAAATGTCCGGATATTTGAGTTTTTTTTCTTCATTCCAAAAGGACAACTCGTGAGATACATTAGTCTCAAATGAGGTCTGAAAGCAACGAAGAGACCGAAGAAGTTTTGAGATTTTTTCTGAGAAGATTTCTATGTTTTTCAGGGCAAGCGCGAAATGTTTTACATTTTTTGGTAGAGGATTGGTGTCTGTCTGCGTTGCTTGGTATCATCACGGCAGTCCTCTCAGTTGGAATGGATGTCGCCATAGAGATACTTCAGCACGGTATCCTCTACTTATTTTCACCTCGAACTTTTTGTTACACTTATTATCATTATCTATTTATTAATATGATCTTATAAACTAATCTTCTTAAGCTGATGCGTAGGTAGTATAGGTCTTCGTTGTCGTTTTCGTTGTTGTTGTTATTGCTGTTGTTCTTGTTGGTCCATGGCTGACGTTTCAACGATTTCGCCCTCCTCAGAGCCGTGATGTTACGAGTGGGACTCTTATAAAGTTAGGAATAATTCGATGTTTTAAGCAGTGGCGGAGAAAGTGCCTCTTTTGTTTTGTAAGACGATTTTTTGTCTTAATGATAACACGTCCCTAGCAAGTCGGAAATGTTTTGCTGGAACATCTCTTAATAACTCAAAAGACTGGGAGTCCCATTCGTAACATCACGACTCTGAGGAAGGCGAAATCTCCGAAACGTCAGCCATCGACCAACAACACCAAAAACAACGACAACGACAACGATGATCTGTACCAACCTCGCGTCGGCTTAAGAAGATCAGTTTATAAGGTCACATAAATAAATATATCAACTATCTATGCCGAGGTTTATAGAAAGTCGGTCTTTTGAATTATCAATATCCACTTTTTGCATCATCCAGAGGTGTTCAATGGTAATCCATTTAGCGTCCGAGGATAAATGCAAAAAAAACTATTTGGTTGTCTTTAGCTTCATTAACGTGTTAGCTGCGGGAGGAGGTCGACCAAAAATTAGAAGAACATATTTGACTATTAGAGCATTTCGTTAGGTTGTTTATTAAGTTCGCTCCAAAAGCTCTTGTTTTTGATGCCAATGTGTTTTTTACAAACCATATAAGTAATGGAAGGGACCAAGATATTAGATAAGATATAAGATATTAGATATAATCACATTAATCACAGCTATTAATCATCAATTCTTTAAGGAGACAGCTATGACCAGAGTAGATTTTTAAGTGTTTTTGCTCTTTTATTTTATTTTGCATAAAAGGAAAGATTTGCTTAGTTTTCGGCAAGAGTGAGTGCATTTGCCGGCTTTCGGGAATTTAGTCAACTACCGAAGCAAGTGGAGTGCGAATCAAAAAAGTGAAAAGGAGAGTTGCAAAATCGACATTGCCTTATACTTTGTTAACTTAATGTTTTTCTTATTACTTAGATAACTGCGAGAAAATGAAACTAGGTTTTTTTCAAATTTCCTCTGGCGTGTGGGAATTTTTCATGCTTCCGGCAATGCTCCCGTTAACAGTTTAGCTCAGCCAAATGCAATGCAGTCGTTAGAAGATCAAAATGATAAGGCAACAAGAAGAACCCACGACACTGTCGATGCTTTCAGCTCATGTGGTTCTTCACGACATATCTCTGGAAACATCCAGCTATCTAGCGTTTTTCTCGTGGACCTCTTATATTGTAATACTAACGGCACTGTCGACCGTGTTCTGTCAGATCGTCTCCAAGCAAGCTGTCGGTTCGTTCAGTTGTCTTATTTGGTGGGATATGCAGTGAAAATTAGAGCAGTAGGAAAAAAAACCTTTAAATCGGAAGAAAAACTTTCATTAGAGCTGTCCAGGTACCCCATAATATTTACTGAAACCAAGGAAAAAAGCGGGAGAAACTATGCAGTGGAATTGAAATTTTTAAGGCACAGAGGCATGAATAGAACAAAAACAGGTGGCCATTGAGAGTAGCGTATCAACTGGAAGAGAATTTCAGCGAAAGAAAAGGAGAGACTGAGAAGAACTGAAAAATGGACGAAGTAGCTGCTATAATACTATTGCTTGCCATTACTTTCAATTGATTTCTTTATCGTGGCTTCCTCGTGAACAATTTCAACTCCATTACCTTCCTATTAACTCACGGACCAAAAATTACGTAGCCGTCAATTCATTTTAACAAGTCATTAAAGTAAGATGATAAGAAAATATCAGATGAATCATAAATGGTTTCCCTTCAATGTACGTAGAGGAGATTCCTAAGAATGCATATGAAAGAACTGAGTGACAAATGAAAGAACATTCAGGATCTGGCATTCCGGAAGTGAAGGTGATCATGCATGGCTTCAAGCTGGAGAATTATCTGACTTGTCGTACACTCATCGCCAAGATGGTCGGGCTAACGCTTGCGATGGGCGGAGGACTACCTATCGGCAAAGAAGTCGGTTTCGTTCAAGACCACATATTTTCTGGCAGAGTTTTTCCCTCTTGAATTTCGCAATCTAAACCGCATGAAATGGTAATATCGTGCCACTTTAACCTGCTTATTGTGTCTTTATGATTTATAATGCTTTTCTTCACTTACTTTCTCTTTTTCATTCTATCATATAAATCTTGATAGCCTGGCCCACCATCAAGTAATATTTGACCCCAACCCCATGATGGTCACTCGAAGAACAGGTGTGCAAGTTCGGCATTAGTGTGAATTCGACTGTTGTCTGATGACCTGTCGTCTTCCGCAGTCGTTGGAATCCTTCTCGAGGGTCGTGTTCTCCGAGATTACGAGGTAGTCGTGCTTGAGCGTTCTTAGGTCTTCCATAGCCGGTCGCAGACAGATAATGTGGGTCGGAGAAGGATTCTTTGACTCCTTGCAGAATTTCTCAAACTACCAGCAATTCCTGTGAGTCGGCGTAGCGCCCAAACAAGAACTATGTGACCAACCGAATTCGTTGCTCTAGCTTACAAGTACAAGAGTTATATCACATAAATGGCTTGCAAGATTGTTTATTTTTTCTTTTAACATAAATAAAATAAAAGGATAAAGCTCTTAGCGTTGACCAATCCCTAATTGATGCGCCACGCATTCGCCTTCATTTAGTACTGTTTGGAGGTGATTGAATGCGTGGCCGGCCTTTACAATGAGTTTCGGTGGCTTGCCGTTGTATCTATCCAGTGTTGCTATCCTCCTAAACACGTCTGGTACCAATTTTCCTACCCTGGAGGTATGGAAGGCTTGGTGTGCCAAAGGCGCGGGAATTGACCCCATGTGTATTGTAGGGCTCCTCCAACTCTGCCCCATACGCACCCTTTCTCTTTAACATAACAAATACAAATGCTTTAGTTTGTCAAGTTCCTTTTTCTCGATACATTTGAGAACCTTGTTACTTCAGTTCTTTTAGTTTACCACAGTATTTTCTCTGCGTCGTATTGTAGTGCGCCCCAGTTCTGAACCTAATGAATAAATTCAGGGTCCATTTGTGCATATTGGAGCGATCGTAGCTACACTGCTTTCGAAGATCACAGCCTCATGCCAATACTCGGCATTTTTCTCCAATGAAGGAAGAGAGATGGAGATGCTCAGCAGCGGGTGTGCAGTCGGAATCGCCTGTACATTTTCAGCACCCATTGGAGGTAAGAGATTTTGGATGCATTTTTCGACCTTTCGACTCAGGAAATTATTCGCTCTAAGCAGTTTCGACACAGATAAATATGTTGTTCTTAATTTAGCACATTAAATATATTTTCAATTGTCGCACAAGTTTGGAAGAAAGAGTACTGGCCGCATTTACGTTTGACTTCAAGTGTTAGTGCAGTTGACTTCAGTATCAACGATTGAGGGACATCACCTTGCCATTGCTGGATGAGACCCCTCATGTCTCAACGGCAAATGGCGAAAAGAATACATTTTATATGAAACCGAAAAATCCAGGATTCCGTGGCAGTTAGCGAACAACGCAGGGCGGATGGCGATAATACTTAATTAAATTGGTAAAACTCACTATGGGCAAACATGTGTTTGACTGAGATTGAAATGCATCTTATTTTATTCAGCCGGTCACTGTGCACTATTTTTTTAGCATTAAATGCACATGAGGTTCCGAGTTTTGCTCATACCTTTGTACTTGTATTTCACACAATACCCTGCCATGAAAAAAGATTGGACAGTAGATAAAAAGTGAAACAATAACTTTTCATGTCTAACTTTTGCTGCCTATAGTTTTTTTCACGAGAAGGTATGACATGAAATACAACCTCTATGTTGCTGAGATATTTACCTGGCATCCAAGAATATCAAATATTTCGGCATCATAATAACTTTTATTTTACACGACCCATCAACACACCTGTACGGATGCCAGCACTCCTTGCGTTCGACTCGCTTTCCCCGAATCTTCACGTTTTGTTTTGGATGCTGCTTGAGGATTTCGTTTTCTTTATAAAAGTCGAGGAATGTTGGTCGCATCGATACTTTTCCTTGCAAGCTTGGGCTGAGCTAAGTCGTTCCCACATAGGTTGGAGGACAGCGTTGGAAAGGAGTCGAACTAGAACCTTGCTTCCTAATAGAGTCTATCACTAAACGCTGCGCTACCACTCGCCTTTGCCCAAATGTATTAATAATGGCAACTAATTCAATAAAAAAATTTGTTTGTTGTTCTTCAACGACTCGTTGTTGTCACCTCGCTTGTAAAGTGGCGAATTCTAGCGGTACTGTATGCGATAGAGTCGACGTCCAAGTACTTCGCAGTGAAGAACTACTGGCGTGGATTTCTTGCCGCCACCTGCTCGGCGATCATCTTTCGTTTCGCCAACTTCTTCGTCACCGCGGAGCAGTCCGGTAAGCTTTTTTGGGAGAGGTGATGAAAAAAAGACCACTCTGCCGCCTGATTTTTTACCTGTTTTTAAAAGATTATTTTTTAAAGAAATGACTGAATACCTTCTACAAGTGGTGTTCAAATCAAGAAAGTGAATCGTTGAAAAGGAAAAATTTCTTGCACATAGTTCTCTATCTTTTTGTCGAGTAAACACGTGTCAATTTATTCTTTATTCCGGGAAAACTGACCTTTTCGACAGTATCGCCTTCTTCAGAGCGTGAAATGCTATAGTAATATGCAACTTATTAAGCGAAACGCTTCAATAACACATACAGAAGGATGAAAATCTACATGGCAATCAAATGGTCATCAGCTTTTCGAAAAATCCACCGCTTATTACCTGCTTTCCACTGAGGAAGAAAAGATGATCAGAGTCGCATATGGTTGATGACTGCGCCACCCCACATCAAAACTCGATGCGAAGGTACGGGATGATATCCTAAATAGCAGAGAAGAATGGTCAAATCCTATTTATGTTGCCCTTTATTAGCGATGAAGTAAGTGTACCTACAAAGCGATGCTTAAGAAGGACAAGTCTAGAGGAATCGGTAGCGATAGTTGAAATACCACCGTCTACTCAACGTCGTCAGTTAGTTCGTGACCGCCTGTATGACAGTTTATGTGAAACAACAGATTGCGTAATTTACCCTTACGGCAGCGACGGTGATTGCATGAGTTCAGGTACGATATACCCGATCTCATGTAATGATTGCGGAGACGAGTACATTAGCGAAACGGGCAGATCTTTCTGTACCCGCATGAAAGAACACTTAGATGGCAATGAAAAGCAAGACAAAGTACTCCACTAGGGAAGCATAAAACACTAAATTAAAGCGGAGTCGTTTTTGATATATTCACCCTCGCATAGGACGCCCAAACACCAGCGCGCAAAATTGTTAAGGTTTTTCGGATAAGTACCAGGAATTCTAGATTAAATAGCAGAGAAGCATGGACTGAGATCACAGATTATCGCGCCCCGTATCTTAGAATCAACTTTTGTTGTATGGTGGTTCACTCATCAACCATATGCGACTCTAATCAGCACCTGTTCCCCCTCAGTGGAAGGCACGTAAAAAACAGCGGGTCATTCGAGAAGCCTTTGATCACGTGATTATCATTTACAGTTTAATCTTTCTGTTTGCTTTATTGGAATGTTTGACAGAACTAATTGCGAATCGATATATCCCTCCAGGCTCTGAAGAAGGTGATCCTGTCGAAATGTCGGATTTACTGGAATAAAGAATTAAGTAACACCTCGTGTTTTTTTTTAACAAGAACAGAGAATTATTTGATCAATGCCGAGATTAATAGAAGCTCGGTCATCGGAGGTTACTGCACGCTTTTGTAACCTAATTCTTTCAAAAAGTAAGCAATATACTTAGTAACCAACTGGCTCGTTGAATCTTCCAATAACTAGTGTTCACATCTTTCATTCAATATTTCTTCTCAGGAACAATCACCGCCTTTTACCAGACGCGATTTCCGACTGACGCGTTTCTCATCGAAGAACTGCCCGTGTTCACTCTGTTAGGGTGGGGAGATATTTTCTGTTGTGTAGGACTGCTTTATTAAAGGACTTGAACAGTCAAGTAATAGAAAAGACCTGCTCAGGTAATCTGTAATTCAATCAACTACACGCTATTTGACCATAACTTGTTTAAGTAAAACCATCTAATTGGACTTTATCCCAGGCATGATAGCTTGCCTTCCATAAAAATTATCGCACCTTTTGCCCTTCCCTGAGCATTAAAAACGTAAACAAGGATAAAGCGTTTGTCCTTGATCAATCCGCCATGCGTTAGAGCTCACCAAGCATCGTAGAAGTGTTATAATCCACATCTGGCCTCTACAATGATCTACGATCCCCTACCAATCTGTCAACTCAGGATTTTATCCTCTCAGACAGATGTAGTGCCAATTTGCTGAGCCGGAATGACGGAAGACTTTTGGTGAGCTCTGGGTGCGGTGTCGTGCCGGTAATCGACTTAGGGTGTACTACAGGGATAAGCTTTAACACATTGTGCAACGCGCGCTGGAGCCTGTAGCGCAATGAGATAAGCGGTTCGAGGTCATGTCTATACTACTCGTCTGAATGTTCACTACGAGGCCGAGCCTGCTAAAAGCCGGCCTTTTGCCCGCTTCGTTAAGCTGGTTGCAGAACAGCCATCGTATAAGTAGATACGACATTGGTTCCCCACAAGGATTGTTGAAGAGAGTCGAACGTCGCCGCATCCGTTCATTCCGACTATTCAACATCCGAATTTCATCTGCCCTTCAACTACGGAATTGGCTTATTCTGCTTACTCTAGGTTTATGAGCGGAATGATGGGTGCGATATTTATATTTACACACCGTCAGATCTCCATGTTTCGTCAACGGAATCATCTTTTTAAAATGATATTCAGAAATAAGTGGGTTTTTGCAGTACAGTACAAGCACTAAGTGCGGATTATTCATGTGAGTTCTCTTAAACAAATCTTAAATTTAGTTTTCTGACATTCACAGTATTCATGGCATTGGTGGTCGGGATTCTTACTTATCCGCAAGGGTTCGGACGTTTCATTGCCGGAAGAGTAAGTTATCATCTGAACAGTTCTTGCTGTCGTTGTTCTTTCATAAAGTGGCTTCCGATTCTATTCGGTGATTAAATTTTGGAAATACTGGAGTATTCTTAAAATGAAGTGTACAGTATATACAAGAGAAGGGAGTTTTGCCAACTGCAGCTGACGTTCCGCGAGACTATGGCCAATTTTTTCGACAACTGCACCTGGTACACTAATGACAGGACGAAGAGGTGAGTGTGACGGAGGCGGTACGGCTACGTCCAGCTGAAGTCTGTTGTTAGATTGTTAGATTATAAAGCGTCAAGAAATTAGAGTTACCAAATTGGTGCGCATGCGAAATGTACTGCACCGGTGTTAATTCTATCTTTTCTACAAATTCATGAAATCCTTCTAATATTTTCTTTCTTAAGAGAACCAATAAAAGGACGATTTACCTGATTCAAATCTCTTGAAATTGGTTGTTTCAGATAGGAGTGTCTACAACTCATCGTAATAATCCAATGAACCTTTTGTAAATTCGATTAATCTTGTTTCTTGGCTTTCTTAAGCTCTTAGCACTGCGAAAGTAGCCTGTGACCGTCAAGAGCGCAGGAATGCTCAGTTGTTCGATTTTCGGAGATTACCATGAATGACACGATTTATTTATTAAATTTGTAGCGAACTTCTTTGTAAGCGATAGCTTCACTCATCTATCGTTCCATCTTCAAAGTAATATAATTTTCGTTAATCGATATCAATGGAACTGGTCGATATAGGTCGATAACTAGCTAAGAAAGAGACGAAACGATGGACCCGCATGGTGTGGTGGTGAACGCGTTAGCCCAATGAAAGAGTAATATCGTGTTCCTTCCTCACCAGAGACACCTGCGGTCCGGAGTTTTGCAAATATCTCAGCGCCATTGTGGTTGTATTTTCGTTAAGTTCATTGAATCTTAGAGAGTTTAGTACTTTTGACATTTCACAAATGAAACTAAAGTCAGTGATGTTGATTTACTCTTGAAACTTTTTTTCTGTGTTTAGATTTTCGTGCTTCATAACACTGTTGCTTAGATCCATTAGAATTCGATATTAAAAACAAGATTTTTTAAAAGCTTATGAGAAATTGGGTAAAACAACACTTCGGTCTTTCGCAGATGCCCCGAGCAATTGCTACGGCATTGGACAGACAATGGGTCTGTGCACATATTCGTTTCGCTGTTGGCCTACTACATGGTCTATGTGAGTCATTAGTTTTCTGTAGCATAAATCCTCCTTGGCTTATTCATTCGCAATATCCTGCTTTCAATTGTAATTGTAATCAGTCATTTTATCTGATAGTCTATTCTCATTTATTCATTATTGGTCGCTGAAAGAGTAGCGGTTAAAGGTGCCTTACAATAGTTGCACCAACGTAGTGGTTCGACCCTACGCCAAGCTTACCAACCTGTCCATATTTTCGAGGTCTGCAAAATCGCACCATATTTTTCTGGGTGAATCTCATTTTGACCCATAAAATTTGGCGACAGCTTATGGTTAAGACCTGGAAGCGGAATGCCACGTCTGTCCTAGAATTCCTGGGAGAATCCATTCGACATTTATTAAGATGACCGAGAAACCACGAATAGCAGCTAAAGTCACGCACAAATTCAAAGGGCTTCTTGGATCATCGATACAAGAGTGTACATTCAATGAACGAAGTGCTGTGGTCAGTACAACATGCGATGACTTTCCATATAAACTGAAGAAGAAAATTAGAAAATAATGTTCGTTCACGATGATCTTTCTGAAAAGCTTTCATCCTGACAAGCTTACGAATTCTAAATTCAAACGACTTTAAGCAAAAGTCTATAGAATGAAGCAAACACCATTCATGTTTTACTTATTAGACCGAAGTCAGTTTTCTTTTCATTCCGCCAACTTTATCGTTATCTTATACATGCATATCACAGCGACTATCATGTCAGTTTTTGTAGAATTGTATGTTAATCAATCTAGTTATTAGAGGAATTGCTCCATAACTGATGTAAGCCCATTTCATCTTCATCGGCTATTTTCAGTTCGTACTAGTAGCGATTTGCATCTCCATCAATGTGCCGGCAGGCGTTTTCGTACCGTCATTCGTCATAGGAGCGGCAGGTGGACGTCTAGGTGTGTCAAAAGTGGTTTTTCCTCTTTAGTTAGGCTTTTGCGACCAACCAAAAACTCAACATACGACGATTCTAAGACATAAGAAATTTGCTTTAGTGGGCGAGATTATGGTGTTTTTATTCCCTGAGGGTATGCGAGGCCCAGATGGACCACCAATCTACCCAGGACTCTACGCAGTTGTCGGTAAGACAGTATAAACACTAAAAAATTATTTACGTGAAGGAATCGGGAACCGAACAAAGTTTCTTTTCATGAGCTGCCGCTTATACAGGAGCCGTCACCCATGCTCTCTCTGTGGCGGTGATCATTTGCGAACTAACCGGGCAACTAGCTCCCATTCTTCCCGTTTTGGTGAGCTCAACGACAAAAAATAAATAGTTCTCAACAGTTCCTTATTGCACTCAGTGCTTGATAAAATCGTTATTTTCCGATACTGGAATTTATTAAAAGGTGCAAAATTATAGCCTTCTCGTGAAACGAAATTAACTTTATATAAGTTTAATATTACATTTGCTTATACAAACAACTTATTTGGTTGTGTAAGCAATGGTGTTAGTTACAAACAGTATTTATCAGTAATACTTTTCGTGCACCAAGGTAATAAGTCCGTTACATCGTTTGGGCTTCCCTAAGTGATTGGCTCGAACACGCAATAGTAAGGTTTCCAGCGATTCTCGTACCGCCGTATTTGCTCAGACCAAATCCACGACTAGCTCGCTGAAATCTCTTTTGGTATAGCTTTATTTCTACTGTGTCTGGATGGAAATTTCGGATGGCCTATCAGCTTAGTTGGTCTTGCTGTGGGCTGACGCGCCACACTACTAATTCGTAACCTAAGAACGTTTTCCAGCCATGATAAAGCGATATACGTTCGGGAAGATTGTTAAAATATGTCTATTTCACGCTTACACTATAACTCCTGTTTTAATGCTCCTACGGGCTTGCTGGTCTTTAGACAACGGACGGTGAATTCTTAAGTGCTGAGGGGTTATAAACATCACATAATTATAGAAGACACTTTGTTCTATTATCTATGGTTTCGTTGTGTACTGTGGAATGGCATATGGTTGGAATGATATGTCATGGTATGTACGGTATGTGTGCTACCAGTTTCTGTGTTACTGTGCTCTGCCATACAATCACATTGCTATCAACACTTCAAAATGTTTTAAAGCCAGCTCACTCCACAGGATAACCGTAGTTTATTATGGTGATTGGAGTGCAAGGATTGCAGTGGCAGTCAAGTAGCTGCCAAACTACCAATAAACGAAGTCACTGAAAAAAAGGTTTCTCATATTTCCAAGTGTAGAGAACAGCTTTTCATGGACCACGTCTTGAATCACATCAGTGTTAGACGCTCTGCCTATTGAACCGATTGAACGCAGCAAGTGTAGGAGAAAATATCTCTTCGCGGAAATAAATCGCTAGAAAGAAAACGACCTTCATAGAGGTCATACCGGTTACAGTGCCCACCATGTACGCTTCCTGTAGAGGTCACAGTCGGCATTGATTAAGTGTTACAATTATAAAAGTGTGCTTTGGTGTAAGATTTTTCAATACCTCATACTTACTTGGTTTAGCGATGACTTTAACCTTTAAACTGGTTTTATAATCCTTAGAAATGGTTAACTCCATACATTTGGGCTTAATTGACATCCGTTTTAAGCAATTTTCTACAAAATGGCCTATCGCTTAGTGTCGATGTGGATTCCAGATCGCGATGCTGATGGGCAATGCAATCTGCAAGTTTCTACAGCCGTCCATTTATGAGAGTATTATACGAATAAAGAAATATCCGTATTTACCTGATCTTCCTCCATCAAGAATCAGGTAACGTAAGCATTGGCCCTGTTGACGGGAATATCGTGAACAAACAGCATCCATTTATGGTTTTCAGTGTGCATACGGTAAAAGTTGAGCAGTTGATGGTATGCGATGTCATTTACATCACCAAGGACATGACGTATCGAGAAATGAAGGAAATTCTCCAAATGGCGCCACATCTTAGAAGTTTTCCCATCGTTACCGATCATGGTTAGCTAACAGCTAAAGTAGCTCGGAATCTCAATCAGTGATGATGTAAAATGTAGAGAATGCCTAACGTTAAGTATATTTCAATCGTGATCACTTTACTTTCTTTCGTAAATGAACTGTGGATTTATTTATGTTTTAGGAACCGCCTTCATTGAGCTGACGCGAGTTTGTTATCGGGCGTCCTTGTAGTTCAGTGGTCGGAATTTTGCCTACTTGGCCTTCTTCAGGACCTGGACGTATTTTATGTAATTCCCTTCATCTAATTTGGTATATTCTCCATGGTTAATGAAGAACTAATGTGCAAACGAACTCCTATCTATTATAACATACTGCTCACCGTTTTCGTTTTGTGAGGAGTGGTACTACCACTGGGATGAGTGCGAGACTCATCTCGAACAAAAAACCAATCAGAGGAAAAGCCTCAAGTCACGTGTGGTAGGGGACGCTCGTCTTTCCAGTTCATTTTTAGGTGTCTGAAGTTAATCCGAAACGTTTCAGAGGTTTTGCGTGCAGATGTTTTTTTATTCTAGCTCCAGGATCGTGACAGGCAGTCTAAAATCAGCACCTTTGTTCTTTTATGTCCTATGTGTACTTAGAGGAGTACTTTGTCTAATGTTAAGTTTTCGATCTAGATGTTCCTTTGTGCGGACACAAAGTGTCTCGCCAATGTATTCTTCGCCGCGTTCATTACATGAGGTTAAGTATATTATATCTGAACTCATTCAGTCTCTGTCACTGCCGTTAGAGAAGGTAACGCAATCTTCCTTTTGCAGACACGGTCACACAGGAGTTGTGGACTATGTGACAGTGTAAGACGTGGGGTGGGAGGTCAATGACTGCCACAGAATTTTCACGACCACTTCTTCTCAAGTACCTCTTAATGCTTACTTGGATACTTTGGTGGCCGGTTTGCACTGGAAACACAGTATAATTTCTACTTTTTCGTAATCTCGCTGGTTTAGCCACTGTGGTTCTCTAGAGTCCCAAGGTCTGCTTAGACAAAGTCTGCCTCACGTCGCGGCCTTTGTGGAACAGCGAATTTGCCACCATGTTGCTAATTTGATACCAGCACAATGGTGGATCCTGGTATTCGTTTTTTCTTAGCTGGGCTTCCTGATGGAAACGCCGGACTCCTCACTTTGGGAGATCCGGTTGCAGGGGGTGGGAGGAATGGAAGAACCTCCGCTCTACATCGCAGCCCGACACGTTCGACATCAAGTGTAGCTTGGAATGGATCTTATTTAGGTTTAAAACATTGTTTCGTGCAAACCCCTAGCTTTTGTTCCGATTCGAGTGTCTGCTGCTTCGTAGCCATTCGAGATGACTAGTTTTCGTCCCAGGTTTAGCGATCCCTTCCTTTCCTCTTTTCCTGCGCAACATTTTTAGCAGCCCGGTCCATGTTTCTGACATGTGCTCTTTTCACATATGAGAGTGAGAGGAGAGGTGGTACATTGCTGTATTTTTACTACTTGGATTTCAATAACATTTTGTGATGTAGCCGATTTTGCAAGTTCTGCTTGGATGTCTAAGAAGGGAATTCAGTTCTCGTTAGCTTTTTCTTGCGTAAGTTTTATATAATCTGTCTATTTAGCAATGCGAAGTATTTGTCCATCTTTTCTAGCATGAAACAGATAGTGAAGCATTCATCTATGTATCGATAGCAGAGTAGGGTTGGCGATTGAAAAATGGAGCTTCAACCTTAAACATTAAGGGAAATGGCAAGGATTGGTGCTAAGCACTGTCCTATGGCTAAAGCTCTGCGAAATTTTTTCCAAACTACCTCAAGATTAAACAACCAAGGCAGTTTTTTGAGAGAGCTGTTAGATGTTATGTAGATAAGTCACACGTATTTATTTTTCTTGATTTTCTATGGCCAGCTCTGTTGTTAAACATGGCACGAAAAATGGCCACCTCTCATGACTATGATGCGGCATCCACTTCGGTCAGATCAAAAGGTGGGATTATGTCCAGAATGATCTTTAAACCCAAATAAGATGACTTTCAAGCTACCCTTTTTATAAAATGGAATAAGCTGAGCCATTAAGAGGTGCCTAACAGTAAGTGGTCTCCAGATTTCTGTTGTACTTAGCTCTCATTTATTACCCTGCGCTGTCAGTTAGTCTGCAACGACTCCGAGTTGTAGATCGTGGACGGGAAAGATCATCTATGTAACGCCAAAAACTGTGTTACCTGTCCTAAGGACAGAGGCGGCAGATGAGTTCAGCTGCAACATACTTGATCTCATGCGTGGTGTGCAGTAAGGAAGCATTGGGGAAATAGGCAGACCACTTTGCGTCCGCATAAAAAGACATCTGAATGGGAACGCTAAAATTCGACGACGTAGTCCTTCAGGTACGCATTGGGCACAATAGCCCAATGGTGACGATTTCGAAATGAATGTCCGGATCCTAGCGCAGGAATCGAAAACGTCAACGCGCAAGACTCGAGAGGCGTTTTGGAGAAATTTCAACGGTATAAAAATGAATTGAGAACACGAAGGCCTCACTATCATGTGTGACTTGGCGCCTTTTTCCACATTGGTTTTTTGATCTGGGTGAGTTTCACTCGCTATGCCTCATGAGTAACACATGGTTGGTCTCACGCACTACAAAACGGTGAGTAGTTCTTAATAAAGTGATAATTCACTAAATCAAATGGATAGAGCTGCAAAAATGCGTCCAGGTTCCGATGAAAGCGAAGTCGTCCAAACGTTAGCCACAAAATTTCAAGAAAACCTCGTGGCAACCTCGCGTCAGTTTAACAAGAATGCAAGATTTAAGTGAATAAATCTATTATTTACTAAGGCGAAGGTTTACTGATGGCCGATCTTTTGTATTACTACAACTTTAGTTTGTTTTTTTCTATCAGCGAGGTTGTCACTGTGCAGTGGCCATAGTTACAATTCTTGAAGTTTTTATTGGTTATAACGTGTACAAGGGACGCGTGTGGCGCAGTGGTCGGAGGCACCGTGCAACACTCGGTTTTCGTGCTCATGGCCCAACAAGTCTTCCATCCCTGCACGGTCGACAATCTGGTATCAGACTTGTCTGAGAGTATAGCAGCACTTGCTCGATACGTGGGAAAGCCACCGCGAGTCATTGTAAAGGCCAGATATGCATTCAATCACCTCCAAACGATTCTTAATGAAGTCCTTGGCATGGCGCATCCCTCAAAGATTAATCAACGCTGAGAGCTTTATGATTTTTACTTTATAACGTGTACGATTTCTGTTTTTCTTCGTTCATGAGTGAGCTGGGCAGAGGTGCTCTTAGATACAAACTTCATTGTTCGATTATTGATCTCACATTCCGATCTAACCAAAGTTCCCATCCCTCCAGAGTCAGCGAAGTACTATCAAGCAGATCTGGGGGGGGGAGGGGGGGGTGGGTGGAAACACTGAATTTTTACGTTAGTCAGTTACTGCAATTTCTTGTGTAGACTATGTGTGCATTTCGTCCTCTCTACAATGCTTGGTTGATAATAGTGGGGTCGAACGCTTAATACATCCCTAAACAGCGCCGACCGCTGTGCTTGTTTTTTGTCATTCCATTCACTATTTTCTATGCTTCGTTATTCAGAGAGTAAAATCCTTTTGGGATCGGTGGCAAAGAGATATTTGGTAATGCTACTGAGGCGACATGTGTTAATCAGCCAACAAGATAATCGTGCAAGTGTTCGAATGACACCGACAGAAATCTTCAACACAATTCGGAGGACAAGCATGAGGTATATTCATTATTTCACCTTTCGACTTTTACCTTTTCAGCATTTTTTAATATATTTTTTCATTCTTTCCACTGAGTTTAACGTCCCATGAACAGTGATAAGGCATCGATAGCTGTAGTTTTCTTCGCTCATTTTTTTTACTTTATTGATTTTTCTAAGCTTGCCGGAATGAAATAACGAGACGTATCGTGGAAATTCACCGCTTACGATTCTTATCGAGGAATCGGATAGCAGTCATTCTCAACCAGATGGCTGTGGTTGACTTCACCTTGAAGTATCTCGCAGTGGAAAAATTCAGTGGACCGCGCTTAAGCCACTAAAAGGCTTCATGAGTTCTAGTAAGCATTAAAATTTGAAATATCGCAAACATACTGTGAGATGCGGTGAAGCCACAATGAGCTCAGAAATCACCTTGCATCGACGAAATTCTGAAGAGGAGCATGCTATCCGTATGTCTTATCTAACTTCCGTTGAAAGACTGAGAATGGGTATGTAGGAATAGAAAAAATGATGAATAAACAGAAAAGCTTTCTCTCTTTTCAGACTCTCAAAGAGATCACCATCTCGACGATCTAGAGACGCACGGGAAACGGAGAGTACTAAGAGCGAGAGTGATCCGGTCGAAGTAGTCACTGATCGAAGCTACACTGGCAACACCTTGCTTTCGATCTCACCGCTTCATGCACCTGATAGTGAGTCCAGGCTGGATGGAGAGCTAAGAAGCTCCTGTCACCCATCGATTACTAAAAACTGGAATTCCTCTATCACAATGTGGCAAATTGAACTCTAGTGCCTATCCGTACATTGATCACTCAGAACTGCTGATGTTAACTATGTTGTTGACATCGCATTTCCTTCATGACGTACAACTAGTAATCAAATTGGTAGCGAACTCAATTAGTAATAGAGTTAAAGTGATTAGCCTTAAGTTCAGCACAGCAGAATCCAGCGAATTTTTCAGGAAGTATTTTTTCAATAGGTTTCAGTTTAAAATCTAATTTTGTTCTGTGCTGTGTAGGTACGTGTTTGTAGGCGTTCCTTTGCAAGCTGTTTTTACTCGGCCATCGACAGCAGACACAACAAAGGTACGTGTGGCTTGTATAGTTTTGTTTCTACACCTTGTGCTTTTCTTCTTTTCGATACATTTTTAGGAACAGGATCCAGAAGCCCTTCTGGATCGAGTTATTGACCTCGATGAGGTCGCCATCGATGCTGCGCCATTCCAACTTGTGCTCGGATCTTCTCTGTATAAGGTGATTTGAAAACATAATCAAGTCTTGATAACTCTACGGAATTTTCAAAACAGTTTTTGAAAAAAAAAGGGAAAAACATTAAGTTTTCCGCGTGCTCATTTTTTCAGGTGCACACGCTCTTTAGTCTACTTGGATTGTCGCACGCTTACGTCACTGATTGTGGACGCTTGGTGGGCGTCGTTGGTTTAAAAGAGGTTAGGTTGACTTTAATATGTATTTCCACTTTTCAAACCCAATTGACATAAAGGTTAAATTTAGAGTTTAATTAAACTCAATAGGAGTAAAATCAATAGAGTGAGCCTTACATTCTGTGCACTCTATTTAGCTTCGGGACGCCTTGGCTAACATCTACGTCAGAGGGGCCGTCGTGCCGGAAAGGAAGCTCACTTCGAGCGCCATATCCGTCAAGAAAGTAAGAATCTACCTTATTTCACCCGCTTTTGCAGTACTCTTAGCTCGAATGAAGTGGTTGCATTTTATTCGATTCACGATTAGCAATAAACCTGCGTGGAAATAGAATATCGTATCCGTCTAGAAGTGAGTTTTCAACTTTCATTAAAGCGTGGTCGCGTCGGCTTGAAAGCGTAGTCGGTGTTCATTGCTAGAATCTTAAAAGTGTTATCTGTTCTGGTCGACTGCAGGATTTCTTAAAATACCCTTCATTCATGTTCTCTGACGTTTTTGAAAATTCTTGCTAGCAAAGCAGTGAGAACGTCTTAAAAACATAGGAAAAGTCCAGTCTGAAAAGCTCTTGATCGGAAATTCATTGCAGTAGGAGACGAGGCATCTTCGTTGTTCCCCGTTTAAAAGTTTGAGTTTCCACTGTTGCATCTAGACAGTGTTGCCATTTAGTTGGATATTTGGATGACCCATTAACAGACGTAGTAGATTCCCTGCACATCCTCCTTTCGTCTCTTTACCCTGCGATGGTTGTCCATGATAGTGGCTTGCTCGAATATGATAGTGTCTGGTAGTGTCATACCGTGACCGGAGAAGCTCTTGGAGCTGCCAATACAGTTGATCAATTCTAGCCACAAACACACCCGTCTATCATATAGGTAGTCCTTCCAGAAGACGGTGGCATCCGCTTTGAATCAACTCTGCAGTTCTTTTCAACCAACTGTGATCCAGTTATCCCATTATTTGACCGGCCCATCCGCTTTGTTATCGATATGTAGTCTTCTGGGTTTCGAAGAATGGACAGAGAATTTGAAATGCTCATTCCCGTTAAACGCTGTGTGTGCCGCTTGTATTTCAAAAAACACCGTTCAAGCGCTCTGTGGGTGACGTGCAGAATTTTTCCAGTTCTTAAAGTATCGACCAATGTCTCTAGCAGCTGCTTGCCAAAACGCTGGAAGGAATGTTAAGTTCGAACGTGGGCAGCACGTTTTGGGTCTGTTAGATTCATCAGTTGCTTTTCCGAAAGGTTCGGAAGCAGCAAATACCGCCCTCCTTCCGCGTAATCAGAAAACCAATGCAGTTCGCATTATTGACCTTCTCGACTTGGATTTTTCACGAACTAGGTCTTTTTGCGATTTATATTGGTCCAATCCTGCCTGCCTCTTCTCACAGCTCGTTGTAGATTGTCCTGCTTCATAGATATTTCTCAGAAGGATGACAGTACCATCAGCAAAAGGAAGACTTGGCAGAAATCCATTTGCTCACCGTGGAGTGATTTCATTATTTACTGCAGTGTGGTGTTAAACAACTTTGGCGAGAAAGTGTCGCTTTTGTCAACCTCCTTTCTACGCAGCGGTAATTGTGGCTTAGTGAAAAAGTTTTTTCTTTTTTGCGTTTAAGATAACAGTCAACCACAGCTCCTATGTAGGACGGATCCATTCTTTGGTCAACGGACGCTGATAGCATTGCATTTATTTCGAAGCTTTTCTTTGTCAACTAAAGTTGGAACTATTAGCAAGTGATATTATCGGAAGGCTTCCATCAATCTAGATACGGTTCTAATGGTTCCATACATCGGATTCTCTATCAGGTAGCCTTGAATAGCACACTGAAAACGCAAACCAGCAAGTAGTTACTAAGATCCCTTCGGTCACCATTCTTGGCAGGACGACACAAAGCAACTGGTCGGGGATCCTTCCTCGTGAAGGCAGTTTGTCGGCTGCTGGAAGTGTTTTTAATTTATGGCATCTATCTCAAAAGAAATAGATTGCAATGTTACCTGTTTCTGGATTTGTACTTTTCCCTTGCTTTCGATCGCAACTCGAATTTCATAGAAAAGGATTTGGAGTGGCCTTTTCCAAAAGGGGAATTTTCGCTGGAGGCGGGGTTTTACGTAGTGTTGTTAGGTGTTGATGTATTCCACTCAGTATTCGAGGAATAGGCACTAAGCAAAAGCTAAGATAATGTTATTTCGACTCCAGCTTCAGCGTAACTGGGTTTATTGTAATTTGTACTCAATGGACTAATCCCGTTGACGGGTAGTTGATCATAGCACCAATAAAGTATAAACGTAACTGAGTGAAAGGCAAAACAAGGGCCTAGGTTTTATATGATGAATAGGGATAACATATGAGGCCCCATAAAGGGTAACTGCAGGTGCGACCCCAACTGAGGTTCCGAGTTTTGCTCATATCTCAGCGTCGTTGTGGTTGTATTTCACATAATACGCTGACATGAAAAGGGGAATAGGCAGTAAATGAAAGTCAAGACATTGTGGATTCGAATGAGTATTCAAAGAATGTTTTCTTCAAAAAGAGCTGTTTGAAATGGAAGTTATTTATAAAAACTATTCCGGTTGCCTAAAGCTTTCCATTTTAAATCTTTTTGTTTGCTTCTTGCTTTTTTTATTGACGCATTCGCCACCGGATGTGACTCATACGCAACTAGTAGTAAAAATAATGGTAGTAGCAGCAGTAATAATAGTAATAGTAATAATAATAATAATAATATTAGTAGTAATTGCTTATTCTCACTTCATCCCTCATTGCTGATGGCAATGGTCGATAGAGAACTAGCTGAGACAGGCGAAATGAAGGACCCGCATGGTGTGGTGGCGAACGCGTTATCCCCCGGAAAGGGTAATACCGCGTTCGTTCCTCGCCACAGACACCTGCGGTCCGGAGTTTTGCAAATATCTCAACATTATTGTGGTTTTACTCCACATAATACCTTGCAGTGAAAAAATGTAATAGGTATCGAATAAAAAAGTTAACATTAATAACAATAATAATAGTAATAATAATAACAACAATAGTAACAATAATAACGAAACTTCCCAAGCGCTTTACAAAATACGTAGCGAGATATCTGCATCGTCCTGAGTTGAACCTATTCATTGTTATTACGTCACCCGACATCATTTCCTCACTTCCATCGTCCACGATGGTCTTCCAACCCAACATTTCGTATATGGGTTCGGCTCATACCTGCGGATTGTCATCTTCTTTATAGTTGTTGTTGAATGCTGGTCCACCTGATTCTCCTTGGAGTCCTGGAATAGGCGAGTTAGGGCGTTCCCGGTTGGATTGCAGGAGTGAGCTGTTCCCAGACAATTCTGGTACCAATTTCTCGAACATGAAGATCTGATGGGATTAGAGCCTTGGTGACCCCGGAAAATGTTCGAACCAGCAGTGAGCTCTAATGATCGGCACCACTGCCACCGTTCCACCCTCCTCCTAAGCCTGGTAAGGCAAAAAATACATGGCATCTTTTGCAAGGTTTTTTTAATTAACAATAAAAGAATACTTTTTTATTGAATGAAGCGAAGGAGCCCCTAAAGCTCAAAATATTTTTGCAGGGTAGCCAGAGAACACCGAAAAGCACGTCGGTAAATGGACTGGTCGTATCTACCAATAGTTCGAAATTCGGTAATTCCCTCACCGTTCCTCAGTGCGTGTAATTCCCGGTTTCCAGAGTCGCCGAGTCACTGAATCGAAATTGTTTCGTTGCGACAGTGTCACTCCACTCTCAGAGAAAGTTTAACTAGTTATTTATACCAGTGATATCACTAATCTCTTAGGTGTTCTTTGTAAGGGCAATTCCTCTTTGATAACAATATTTACCTACAGTCAGAAGCTTGTTGTACATAAACGTTTACGTGACATAATAACTAACTGATTATGACATAACAATGACGTTGATACTTCTCACCGGAAGGCGCAGTCTTCAAATTTACTGTCTCATTACTCATAGAATAACACTTCATATAATTCCCTGTACTTGTTACGATGTACGTATTAATTCATTCACGAGTTCTGTTGTCTCCTGGTTATTGTTTGCGTATCTCTAACGGTGCTTATTGTTAGTTTTTCTTCCTGGTGGTTCTTCCCGGTTCACATATTCGCTAGGTTGCCTTCAGTGAGCGTTCAATTATCGTATATTTCTACATATTATGTTCTCAAGATCGGCCCAGGCTCTTCTAATGTACCAAATACGTGTTATAGTGACATGTTCGTAATGAATTTCTTAGGAATGTTTCCAATAAAGAAGTTTTAAATACGTACGTACACCGCCATGACATAAATGAACGTTTATATCGGCTTTTGACTGCCACGTAGGATTTAGCATATGTTAAGCGAAGTCAAAAGCCCTTGTCATCTTTAAAATTAAAAGTCTAAATCGTCGTCTTATATGTTGGTTATTCAAGTGGTGGTTGATTCTCTTCTTCAGACCCGGCATGCGGGACTAGTTCCTGCGGCCCGAGATCTCATACCTGTGCAGTTAAAGCTCTCAAAAATAGCGATAATATGGCAATGACAAACGCGTCGAGACCAATTAGTTTATACAATATATAGAGTGGCATAACTCATAGACAGATGCACCCAGTAACGGAGAGGTTCCAACAGTAGCTTTATGATGTTTGATAATGGAATGTTAATCCACCATGAAATGCTGCTTATGCGAATGAAGAGCTCAGTGCTAAAAGACTACTGATGAGATAAAGGTGGAAAAACCTGGAGGCATTGGGAATAAAGTGGAACAGAGTAAGGTTGTGTACCTGACAATGGCAGAGGCTTCCACAACAGATTCGCGTTGCACTGTGAAGCAGGGACCTCTTCTACAACCATTGAATGTGTGGAGAAAAAGGTCAACAATAGGAGTGGAGTAGAATGAAGCGGTACGATGAAGCAGTATGTGGATAAATGGGTGGCGATACTCTTGCTTGGGTTAAGCAGAAACGGTTGAAATATCACTGCGGCATATCACCCTGCCATGTCTGGTGGTGGGTATAGCTAGGTATGGATGGAGGGCAGTAGTAGCAGAGCAGGAAGATCTGCAATGGCAAAACTAGAACAAACTACAAGAAGTACCAGAGAAAAGAACCAATCCGAAAAATTGTCGTCGATACTTATGCGACTATAATGTTCCACTATTTGACGAACGAACTCACCAAGACCATCACATATTCGTGCCATGATATGGTAATTGATAACGATAAACATTCTACACCAGCCCTTCCCTTTCCACTATCTCCGTACCAGACTTTAAAATCCCAAACAAAGAAAAGCAACTTGGAATCCGCCCCTCTGAGGTTCGAGTTTCGATAGAGGATATGAG